GATCTCTCCTCCTACCCAGCACTTTTGTCTGCCCCACTGAAATCGTGGCTTTCAGCAACAAAGCAAATGAATTCCGTGACGTGAACTGTGAAGTGGTGGCAGTGTCAGTGGATTCTCATTTTTGTCATCTGGCCTGGATAAATACACCACGAAAGGTATGGATCAACCATCTGTTTCAGGTTTTCTCTGTTGGTTTGGTTGCTTTTCACAAGAGCTCCAGAGGAGTTGATTAAATAATTGTGCCAACACTGATTTTTAATAGACTGCCTAAAGTAGTATGTGATTAACTTCTACATTTATTGACATAATTCTGACATCAATTTTTGTTTTCTCTCTCTTTTTCCTAATTACTCGGTTTTTTAACGTTTTGCTCTGTTGATAGTAATGTTTATTCTTGTACATTTATCTCAAAAGACAAATGCTCAGCGTACAAGCCACAGCCCTAAGATGTCTGTTACAGCTGATAGTGCACAGAAACTATCACAGAAAATGAACAGCAGCTGTCTAGATTTTATTGTTATGCAGTGCCTAACAGTGGTGTCTTCAGAAGGGGAGCAGAAGAACCACCAGTTTATTGGAGCACTTGTATTATTAACTCACTTGCTGAAAGGGTTCCTCTCTTGCAGTATAAATGGAGGGGCTGGGCTTTCTTTAGGGAAAGAAAATGATAAAATAGCCTTTTACTGGAGATAAGCCTCTTTCAGATGTATATAAAATACATGCTCTTAATTGCATAAAGGACCTCAGGAGTTGAGTTAGTTGTGGAGGATGGCAGGTGTCACAGGAAGGTGCAGGCTGTGCCATCAGCCACGGCCCGTGGGGCAGCAGCGTGCAGGACTGCTCGCAGCCTGGGTGCCTTCAGGCGCTGCTGTAACTTCCAGGGGAGCCAGGAAAGTTTGCTGGATTTCGTACATCTTGGCTGAGCCTATCAAGAGTGTTTATTTTCTGAATGCTTTGTTGGAAGCTCTGAAATGTGGTGGTGGACTGACTTCATGGGATTTACTGGAAAGCTGCTCGGTGTGTGCCGGCCACGCTGCTCGGTGCACGTGTAGCAAAACACCCTGCACGGGGTGGAAAGAATTCCATGGTGGTGCTGAAAGGAAGCTGACACCCAGAGGAGCTGAGGCCTTGGTTTCTCTGACATCTGTGCTCAAGGCCCTGCCCATGAGAACTCTATTGCAGACAAACGTTTGCAGGATCAGTGACTGAGATTACACAGTGATTCACTGGTGATGATGCCAGGAATAGCAAAGCTAACAAACTCCAGCCTTGTTTCAAGGTTAGAGAGCTTATTTCTCTTGCAGCTTCAGTATGTAGCAAAACTGAAAGAAATCTTGTTTGACTCTCCAAATAGTATTTAAATTGGTTTGATTTGTGGGAGGAGAAGAAAAAAAATGCTTACACTGAATAGAGCAGCAGAACTCTGACCATACCAAGTGTGTGTGCTTAGAATCATCAAATGGCTAAGGTTGGAACAGACCCCTAGGATTATAAAGTCCAACCATCAACCTTGTACCACTATCATGTTCGTCACTAACCATGTCCCTAGGTGCCACAGCTGCATGGTTTTTGAACACTTCCAGGGATGGTGACCCCACCACTGCCCTGGGCAGTCTGTTCCAATGCTTGACAACCCTGGCTGTGAAGAAATTTTTCCTGATATCCAATCTGAATCTCCCCTAGTGCAACTTGAGGCCATTTCCTCTTGTCCTGTCACTTGTTACCTGGGAGAAGAAACTGGCCCTTGCCTGAACTTCCTTTTCTCCAGGCTAAACAACCCCAGCTCCCTCAGCCATTCCTCATAAGACCTGTGCCCAAAGACTTGTGCTTCAGCATACGTTTGTTCACAATATGCAGTTTTCCCTTCCCTCCCCACCGTGTTCATCTTATTTAATTCTGAACACTTAAATATGCAGTAGAAATTTTTGTATTCAAAGCCCCTGATTAGAGTACAATGGAAATTTTTCTGAAAATCTACGACTGTCGCCATTGGTTGCCTTTTACCACCAAAATACGCAACTCTTAAAATGCTCAGTGCAAAAGAGGTTTTCACTGTTGCAAAGAAACCAAATGTGTCTGACTGCTTTAAAACAAACAAAACAAACCCAAACAACAACACACACTCCTGGTTCCTTCCATGGAGCAAATGGTGTGATTGTGTTTTGAGTGAGTTTTTCCTAAAGAATATCCAAGTGTTTTGTAACCAAACGGAATCTTACTCTCCTCCAGAGCGGTGGTTTGGGCAAGATGAATATTCCAGTTCTGTCAGACCTCACCAAACAAATCTCCCGTGACTATGGAGTGCTGCTAGAAGGACCTGGCATAGCACTAAGGTAAGGCATGATTTCCAAGAACTCTGTTGTGACACAGCCCAGTCTAAACCAAGGTAAGCTGCCCAGTCCCCTCCTGTGGGAGAAACAGCATAAGGATCAAATGAAGACACACAGATGTCACTTTTGCTGCAATACTGCTGGATCCTGCTGGGAAAAGGGCATGTGGCCATTATGGCCATGAAGCTCAGAATGGTTCCAGCCTCTCTGACAATGCATGCAGGGGAAACACAGTTCTGAGAGAGGGGGAGAACTCCATGTCTCTAAGGAAAACAAGAGTAGCATAGGAGAGCAATTTCTTGGTCTTTACGCGTGCTTTGTTATTTCACAGTCCCGTAGCAGTTGGCTGGTTCCTGGCTTTTGCTCACTAACAAACAAGGTACCAAATGCTGTATTGCTGCTCTTAACTGATGCCTAGGAACAACTACATCTAGGAATAACATCTAGAGTACATCCAGGACTGTTCCTTGCTGGAATAGTCCATCCAGTTGCTTGTATTCGGGCTTGGAACGTGGCTCGCGTTCCCTAAATTCCCGCTCGCTTGCAGAGGTCTCTTCATCATTGACCCGAACGGGGTCATCAAGCACCTGAGCATCAACGACCTGCCCGTGGGGCGCAGCGTGGAGGAGACCCTGCGCCTGGTGAAAGCATTCCAGTTCGTGGAAACCCACGGAGAGGTTTGCCCGGCAAACTGGACCCCAGACTCCCCGACGGTAAGTGCCTGGTGAGCAGCACTGCTCTGGGCACAGGCACGGGCCTGGGGGTGTCTGCAGGGCTGAGAGCCCCTGGGTGTGTGTCCTATTGTTTTTATAAAGTATGCGTGGATTTCCTTGGGTAAAGTGTCAAATCTGTAATTTTTTTTTAATCTTCTCTGTAGCAAATAATGATTTTAAGTTTTCTTTTCTTGACAGATCAAACCAAGCCCAGAAGGTTCTAAAGAATATTTTGAGAAGGTGCATTCGTAAGCACTCAAATATGTGGACAAAACTCTTAGTTACCATTAACTGAAGACATTAGGAAAGCGGCTGTGATTGTAAAAATAAAAGTTTTCATTTTCTCATGTTTATGAAGAAATTAAATGCTGAAATATCTACTGACTCCCTTGTCTTACTTTAAACAGAAGGATAGAAACTAAGGCTCTCCTCCCACTTTGCAACTTCAGCTTCATGAATTTCTGTGACCATTAGTCATCTTCCTCAATGTGATGAATACACACAGTACAGTTACCTTCCACTGGCTTTTCCTCTTTCCTTAACTAGTTTTGGACCAGAAAGTGTCCTGCATTTCCTTTTCTCACGTGACGTTTTGTAACAAGAGTTTGAAACAATACGGACAAAACAGAAGATGGAATTTGGATGCATGGTTTGTTTTTAATGAATTTTGCAGAGGAGGAGATGAATGTATCAAGGTAATCATTCTTTTAGTGTGTAAATGCACTAAAACATCAATGTAAATATGTGCCATTTTAATCCTGCATATAGTCCAAAATGCTGTGCAGCTACACAGGAAGCATTGACAAGCACGAAGAACTTCCATTTGTTTGGGAGATGGTAAAAACTTGAACCCCTATAGAGTCCTTATGGGAGCTTAATGGCAACTCTTCTCTCATTTGAATTTGCTTGACTCTTGTAGTGCTTGAAACCAATGTAGCCTGTCTCTAGCTATAATAAAATAACACTGACTAGCAGCAGGTGTGTTGCTTTGCTTTTCTTTCACTTTTCCTCCTAAGAATCCTGTTTCTCTACTCTGAATGTGTTGCATTGGCTTGGGAACTCTCCTCTACCTTTGTTCACAGGCAGCAATTCCCAGCTGCCGCTGCCTTGGGGAGCAGGCCGTAGACAGTAAGGAGGTGTGCTGCTGGAAGGCTGGATAGATCAATACCACACTCACTGCGTGTCTGTTCTTCATCTTCTGTCCTTTAGAGCAAAGAAGCACGAGGGAACCACCTTGACCAAGGGGTTGTGTCCCAAGTTAGCTTTTTAATGGATGTTGATGCTGCGATGTGACAAAGGATGGAAAAGCGAGAGCGGTGGGCTGTGGTGCCTGGTGATGCTCCAGGTTCCAGTACTAGCAAATCTCTTCTCAGTCCTGGTGTTTGGTTGTTTGGTGAAATGTAACCATGTAGTTTTTCAAGTAGACCCGATACTCGTTGCACCCCAAGTGCTGTGCCCAATTCTGGGCCCCTAAGCCCAGGAACGACACTGAGTGAATCTAGAGAAGGGCAACAAAGCTGGTGAAGGGGTCTGGAGCAGCTGAGGAGGGAGCTGGGGGCGTTTATTTTGGAGAAAAGGAGGCTCAGCTTTATCGCTCTCTAGAACTCCCTGACAGGAGCGGGGAGCCAGGCTCTGCTCCCAGGGAACGAGGGACAGGAACGAGGAGGACGAACGACCTCAAGCTGCACCAGGCGAGGTTTAGGCTGGACAACGAGGAGGAGTTTCTCCACAGAAATCAAGGCGCCGGAATGGGGCTGCCCAGGGGAGGCGGTCAAGGGAAGACCCCCCCCCCCTGCCGCCTCGCTCACCCCAGCGCATGGCGGAGGGCTCCCTGAGGGGAAACCTCTGGATTGGGAGCAGAAGAGCCACACATTTCCACCCGCCGAGCCGCCGCGCCGCGGTCCGGGCCCCGAGCTTTGCTCGGGGCCCGGACCGCGGCACGTCGCTCGGCGAAGGCGAACGGAGCGAGCGGCGGGCGGAGCGGCCCGACCCGCCTTTCCGGCGCCATGGACGCCAACCTGAGGCTGTGGAGGGCTGAGGGGCAGGTGGGGATGGGGGCAGCGGTGAGGGCGGTGGAAGGGCAGGGCTGTGTCTAAACAGCGCCCCGTGTTTCCCCCCCACACCGTGTCTCTCCCTCAGTCTTTCCCCCGGAGGTTCCTGCTGTGGGCGGACGTCTTGGATCCGCTGCTGCTCCTCAGGTCGTCGGTGAGTGCCCCCGGGTGGGGGCGTGAGGGGGGATCGGGGAGAATGAAGTGACGAGAAAAGGGAATGTTCCGGGGCGTGGAGGGGCTGCGGGGCACCTGGAGAGGGATTTTGGACAAGGGCACGGAGTGACAGGGCGAGGGGGGAGCGGCTTCAAGGGCAGGGTCGGGTGGGATGTTGGGAAGGGATTCCTCCCTGTGAGGGTGGGCAGGCCCTGGCACAGGGTGCCCAGAGAAGCTGTGGCTGCCCCCGGATCCCTGGAAGTGTCCAAGGCCAGGCTGGACGGGGCTTGGAGCGACCTGGGATAGTGGGAGGTGTCCCTGCCCGTGGCAGGGGGTGGGACAGGGTGGGCTTTAAGGTCCCTCCCAGCCCGAACCATCCTATGATTAATAGAAACAGTCATGTGTGCGTTTCTATTCTAAGTGCATCAACCCAGGGGCATTTCTGGACACAGCCATCTCAGCTGCTCTGCTCGGAGCCAGCAGCTTGAATTATCCCAGCTAAGCACCAGGAAACCCCCAAGGACGGGGGAGCGCCCGGGGTGGCTGTGGAGGACCCGTGGTGTTTTGTAACTGATTTATTGCACTTCAGAATATTGAAATCTGAGTGGCTTTTTTTTTGTTTTGCTTTGATTTTTCTCTCAAATGCAGGATGAAATAAAAAGAGCCAGGTTATTAATACAAACCAATGAGAAGACCCTAAGTGAGCCCCTACGCAATAGTCAGGTATTTTGGAGTGCAGTTAAAGTCTTGACACAAGTGCTTAGATTTTTAGCCCTATTTAAAATGGTTTTTGTTTTAGAATACCTACTAGCTTAACTTTTTTAAATTAACCTTCTGTTCTGCCATAGTGTGTGCTTTGGTGCACAGCACATGGGGTGTGAGTATCTTATATTCAACAATGAGTAATATATAGAATAAATTTTATGTAAAAAATAATTAAATATATCAATGCACAGCACTTCATATAAAAGCAAGTTATTAGAAAAAGAGATAAATGTAGAAAAAAAGTTTTTATGCAGCCTCTTCTAAAATTTGATTACTAACCGAATTTTCAAATTGTTTAGACAAGACAAGCCTTCTTGCTAAGCCTGGTAAGTTTACAAAATATTTAGACATTATTTTTCCTTATTCAAATGTGGCAAAGGGGTTCTAATTTGCTTTTCTTTTCTTTTCTTTTTTTTTTTTTTAAGTCCAGTGTACATCCTGATACAAACAACGTAATTCCCATTTTGTTTAGGCCTCCAGGTAAATTCCCTTAAATGAAGTTTTGTGTATGTGACTGAAGCATCAAGGGGGAATAGCTTGTAGTGAATACTGTGATACTGCAGAGATACTCTTCTCCATACGGAAAAGCAAGTAGACTTTTACCTGCAGGCTTTTAATTGTCATATCTGTGAAAGATTTATTTGTTCCTGTGTTCCTCTTGAGGAATTTTTCTCATGGTTTATCTGCTCACCTAGAGGGAAATAGTCTGACCACTCTCTGTTTCTTGTCAGGAGTGAGTTCCCAAACCCCTCCACATGTAAAAGTCTACTATAAACTAAGTTTTCCTTTGATGGATGTGGCTGCTTGATGACTTTGCTTGCTGTGGGGGCAGATAAAATGTGCTTGGAGCTGAAACTAGAGAGGAGAATTTTGTGCTCAAGACCATCCATCTGGACTCACAGCAGTTATTTTTACTGAAATAAAGTTTTCTTTGTTTCTTTTTTTTTTTTTAATTTTTAGCTTTCGCGCCCATGGCTCTCCCGTGGGTGAGTAACCATGACAGATGTCAGTGTGCATCTGGCAGGGCTTGTTTTTTTCCATAGCCAGGGGTTGGAGGGAGGGAGTAGAAGGTAGAAATACTTCTTTATGATGTTTACAGCTTAATGCTCCTTCATAGATGTGATTGGATTCGGTGGTGGTACTAATAATAAAGACAGTTCATCCACTAATATTGAATTGATTACTGATGCCGCTCTGAGGCTTTGGAGATTCTCTGCTTTCCTCTTACTCAATACTGAAGTTCTTATTTATTGCCTGAATTTGAGAAGGAGTTGGAAAATAACTGCTAAAATCTTTCATCATAGAGCAGTTAGGTCTAGTATTTATAGTCCCACCAAAACCAAGCTGACCCTTTCTCATTCAGGTTTTTAACTCCACTTTTATTACCTGAGTTATTTTATTTGCATCTATTTAAGCTTCAGAGGTACAGATGCGTTTTTTAGTTTGGGTAAGAGGGATCTTGCTCAAATATTCTTACACAGGGTGTTTTAACAACTGTGTGTTTTACATAGGTTTCTGTGGTTTATATTAGATAGAAAAACTGAGCATTTCACTTCTGTATCAAGAAAACGTAGCCTAGAATCGAAGCAAATGACGCTGGGCACTGAGTGAAGCCTTTGACACTGCTGCCAGTAGTACCACAGCACTTCCCCTGCTGCTTCTGCACCAAAACCTTCTACGTTCATCAAACCTAATTTTCTTGTGGGGTTTTCCTCTTAGGTCATTGTTTCATCTCTTCAGCACCAGGCAAAGTCAGCTTTTTTTTTCCAGGTAATTGCCTCTTTTTTTCTACTTTTATGGGTCTCCTGTTCTCAATGCTGAATTAATTGTTCCTTGTTCTCTCTTGTTTCTGCAGTTCATGTTTCACTCATATACCACAGCATTCACCCTGTTGAATGGAAATGGCACCCCAAAGGCTGAAGTACGTGTCAGTTTTTGGGTTTGAACTTGATTTGCCAGTGCTTTGCAGCTGTACTTACGCAGTGTGTTTCTTCTGCCCTCCTCAGGAGTACTCACTTCAGCAGAAGCAGATGTTCTATGGCTTGGGAGCCATCTCCTATGCAGCCTGTGTTGGGGTGTGTATTTGCTCAATGACTCTTCCCTAATAAGCTCTCCTGACAAGGAGTAGGCACTGGGGTAATCACACTGCTGTCCTCTACGTAATAATGTTTAATGCGCTTTTTATTATAATATTTTGTATTCTTATCTAAACAGTGATTGCAAGCACTTTCAGTAACTAGAGAACATGTATATTTTGTCAGAATGTTAAACCAAGGCATTTGTTTATTTTCATAGGTGGTAACTATGTACTAAGTCACAGATTTATTTTCCTGACCTGTTGCACATACTGAAATGCTGCACATTTTTAGTAAAGCTCCTGTTTCCTCCCTTTGCCTCAGGCTCTCCCTCTTATTTTCATGAATCGCTACACGCTGAAGAGTCCATTGACACAACTAATCGTCAAAAAACTTCTACCTGCTCCTCTGCTTGGTGAGTAGAAAGACACTGTGCATCGTGCAGTTGGTGTGAGAGCCATTTGCCCACCTGACTGTAGAGTTTTCTTGCCCAGGTTTAACATTTTGATGTCATTAATTATGTTTCTGTTGATATTAAAGAACTTTTGGGCCTTTCTTGGGGGAAATTGGGAAAATTAAAACATGTCATCTCCTCTATTCCAAGTTTATATGAGATGTCCACTGAGAGTGGTCAGCAAGGTCAGTTTGCTCTGATGTGCCTAGACCTTGGTCTAGAAAAGAGAGAGAAGCAAATCAACTAGATTATTGACTCCCATTTGATAGAGCCTTTATGAGTGCTGGTGATTTAGTCTTGTGTTTCCAGTGATTGGGTAGATATTTTCAGTCCCTTGTAATCCTGGGTGTGGAGGAGACTGAAACATTCTCATCCAGGCTCTGGCTGAAGCTCTGCCACCTGGGGAGAGACCCAGCTGGGCAGACAAGAGCCTTGGAGCATGTTAGAGCCAGTGTTCCCCTGGCACCCTCCCTTTCACTTCAGGGATGCAGCCTTTACTTAGAGCCTGTCTTTTCTTCTGTCCTGGATTTTGTGCTGCCCAGGACAAAATCTGACCACAACAGAAATCCCTCCATGCAGGGGACTCGTGATTTGAGCTGGATGGCAGTGCTTAAAGCTCTGTGTCCATGGTGACAAAGCACCTTCTAGGTTTGGGGCCTTACAATCTCGCTCGAGCTTCTGAGACAAAGATTAAGATCCCCAGTAGAGTTTTATTGGGCAGTCTCTTAAGCTACCAGGGTATTCAGTTGTGAACAGTTGAGCTGGAAATGTAAAATGCACTTAATTATGAATGTTACTATCAAGAAAGTCCTTCTGGATCTTTTAAAGCACAGCCCTCTGTAACCCTGCAGGTCTGACGAGTGCATTCACTGCAGCAGTGGTGAGAAGCCTGGAATTTGAGCATGGAATAGAAGTGATGGACAGGACTGGCAAGGTTGTAGGAGTGTCACGCAATGCTGGGGAGAAGGTAAGGGCGTGCAGGGCTCCCTGGGCTTGGCTTCCATTCCCTGCTGAGAAGGGAATGTGGTGCTGAGAGTAGATGGAGTTGGATATATTGAAATGAGGAATCCCAGGTCAGGTGCTGAGTCTTTGGGCAGGCATGGACTAGGTCTTTTGCTTTCCCTGGTCACCTCAGAAGAAAAGACTCTTGGACCTTCTTGTGATGGGACACCTCAGAGAAACGCTCTGTATTGTGCACACCATGTGCACCTTCTACAGTGGGAATAAAAGCTGCCCTCTGATCTACAGCATGATACTGCATTTTATCCTTGGGCTGCAGCTGTTGACTCTGTATTTGCTCCTTGCTTTGCTCATCAGCATCCACTGGCTGTAGTTTGGCACAGGAATTAGAGCAAGGAGACTCGTTTTAGATGCTATCAGTGCCCCTCCTTTTCTGTGCTGCTTTCCAGGGGGGAGGAAACAACAGCATGAGCATAAATATTTGTGGACAGCTGGAGAGAGAACTTCAGGTCTGACACAGGCTAGTTAGGATGCCCAGAAGGTTTAACCAATTGTATGAAGTTCAGCATAACTTAAAAAAAGCAAGTCTCAGCAAAATTATTATCATGGCAAGAAAACTCATTATGGCATCAACAGTTTCACCTGCCTTTTAAGGTGTTTCTTAGTCATAAGTGGAGTATTTGCCCCTTAGTTTCCATTCAAGGAAGAATTCCTCTAATAAATGTTTTTATCCCTCACTGGGGATAAATCCAAGCAATCCCTGTTGCTTGGAGCTCCAAGGTATTAGATAAAAAGTGCTCCCAGAAGCAGGCAGTGTTTGGAGCTGCACAGAGCACTGCTTTACCAGTATTTGTTTTTCTCTCTCCCTGCAGGCTGTTAGGGAAACAGCAGTGTCCAGGGCAGTCTTGTTTGGGACAACATTCCTGCTGCCAGAAGCGCTTGTGCACTTAGTGCAAAGGTAAGAGGCTCTGCAGAGGGGCTGGGGGTGCCTGCTCACTTTTTGCTTGGGTTTGCAGTATTACTGTATGCCCTGGGATTACCTGGGAAATCACCTGTTCAGCTACTGTGATTCTTTTAGATCAGTGAGTCTGGTTGTGTTTGCATCAGTGCTTTGAGGGTTTGCAGGAGGTGGTGCCAGCCTGTGAGGCTTTCCTCTCTGCTCCCCTGCAGGGAAGGTGTTTGTGCTCTCCTGGCAGGCACCTACATTCCCTACCTTGATTTGAGTCCCAAGTGTCTGAGTTAAGGCTGTTCCCAGCACTTGGCTTAGATTTGTGTTTTTAAAGAGGTAATGTGGCACTTGCATTTTGGAGCTAAAGCTGGATCCCAATTTTCAAATTATTTTCCATACCTTGTAGAACACGTTCTTGCTTTTGCAACATTTTAAACCCCTGTATCCCAAGAAGAATACATTGTATGCTCTCTGAGAAGTTTCTCAGCCTGCCATGAGCTTTTGGTTGGGATAAGCTCTGTGGTGTAAATAGTACAGGTGGGGATCATCTATGTCATATACTTTGGTGTTGCCTGAATTGATTCCCTATCCCCCTTTTTGACCTTAAGGGGATCTCCTGTTAGCAAAAGACATAAATAGAGATGTAAGATAAAATTTTAAATATATTTCAGGTAATAAATTTTTGCACAAAGCAAAGTAGGATTGCCCAGAGGAGCTAAATGTGAAAGGAAAGAGGGCAATGAGAGAAAATTCTTAATCAAAGGACCGAGACACTTGAAAGCACTAATGCACCTTCTCTCCTTTTCTTCACTTTGGTCATGCTTGTTTCTTAATCTTGACAATCTGGGCTTGGAAAATGCTGCAGCCAAATACAACACAAAGGGAAAGCACAGGGAGTTGGGAATAAGAACATAGGATATGAAGTAAGGAAACACCTCTAGGATCCATAAGCATGGGTTATTACTACTTTCAGTGCAATTTCAACCAGTAAAATAGTGGCTAATGCTCTTTGTGGCACTGTCAGATCATTTTTCAAGCCCAAACTGACATACCGTTTCAATGTCTTGGACAGAGCAAAGCTGGTGAAAAATCCTCGTGCTCTGGCTGCAGTGAGAATGTTTCTGATTACATCAGTCCTAGCAGGGATGGTGCCAGTCTCACTTAGCATGTTCTCACAGTGTGGGGAGGTAAGTCCTTTCCTAGGAATTGATTTAGGATTATTGTGGTATTAAATAGTCCTCCCAGAGCCGTGGCCAGCAGCCTGAGGGCCACGTACGAGAAAAACTCCCGGATGAATGTGGTACATCTGAAATGGGCAGTGGGAAGGCTGCTGGGAAGGCCCACGTGCTAGGCAGAGGCTCCCAGGACCTTCGAGGTCTGAGTTGCATTGTGTGTTGTTTATATTTACACTTTTCAATGTAGATTTTTCAGACTTTCACAACAGTCTGAAGCAGGCAAGGTCAGGAGGACTGTCTTGAGGATTTAAGCCAAGGCTCTTCCAGCACTGTGTTCAGCCCTGCAGGAGGAAGGAAGGATGTAGATGAGAATTTTTTCTTTCATGCAGAGTCAGTATGAACTCACTGGAGAGGTAAATTAACTTACAGGTGACGTCTCTTCACTCTGCCATGCTCAAATGGGAAGAGTAATCTGTTCCCTGAGAAAGAATGCCCTCCTGGCAGGTTTTACATGGAGGATGTAGCCCTTGAACCTTGGGGTCTGGAGAAGGGCAAATGAGAGAGGAGCCTGGCCTTCCTTTCTGCATTTGTTTCCTCCCTCTTATCAGCACTGTGTGAATATTCTCAGAAAATCAAAGAGTGGGCCCTTGCAATTTTCACAGGTTTCTTTTATTTGCCTAAACTTTCTGGCATTGAAATTCCTTTTTTAAGATTTCTTAATTTCTTATGGCAGTAAGGGTAAGCAGAACATGAATGAGAGGGCTTGTGAGAAATGATGTACTGAGAGTATTGGTTGGTTGGTTCCCTTGGGGCACAGCAGAAGTTCTTCTGGGTGTCACCCAAATATATTTATGGCTGGACTGGGTGATCCTAAAGGTCTCTTCCAACATAAATGATTCCATGATTCTATAGTAAGTGGAGATAATGTCACTATTTGTAAATAAAAGGTATGTTTTCCCTTATGTGTGCACATGTAGGAAATGTTGGAGAAGCAAAAAAAAAAAAAAATGAAAAAAGCCCCAAGACAACAACGACGACAAAATCCCTCAAATAAACAAAGAGCCCCAAGTCCCAGATACTGAATTGGTGCAAGGTGCAACGCAGTAACAAGGGCTTAACAAATACTTAACATGTGTTTAGCAGGCTGTGGTGGTGCTGATTCCCTTTTCCTGCACATTGCAGATAAAGAGAGCAGACCTGGAGCCGGAGATCCTGTCATCGACGGAAGAAACAGAGCTGTTCTACAACAGGGGCATTTAGAGACTGGCTTTCCTTTATCAGCGTGGGCTCTGGCTGAAATGAATGGTGGATGCACCAACAAATCCCACTGGCATTTGGGACTGAACAGTGAAGCTGTGGTGGCCCCTGTACCAATTTGGTGTGTGATGGTGTGGCCTGCAAGGAGGCACAGCTTGGCAGCAGGGCTCTGCAAGCCCCGTCCCAGGGGCACAGACACACACATCACTTGATGCTGGAAGTGGCATTTGTACCAGAAAGCAGCACAACACAGTGTTTGTCACAACCTGTGTTCTGTGCCTCCTCAGCTGATTGAGTCCTTAATTAAAAGACTGTTGAGTACACGAGTTTGTCCCGTTGCTGCTGCAGGGTTTGGCACGTTGCTTTCCAGGAACACAGCTGGGGAAGGCTTGAACATCACTGCTTTGGGTAAAGTCAAGCTGGCTCTTCTCAGAACACTTTGTGTGTTTCAGTGTATTTAACAACACTCATTTCGAGGTTGAGAGGTGAGTGAGGCAGCCCTTAAAGTGGTCCTAAGGCAAAGCCACCCTGATGGCAAGATAATATTGGCTAAATTTAGTTGTTTAAGAAGTGTTCAGGAAATGGGTGTCAAACTTGACTACCAATTGATTCCTGGCTTTCTCGACATCCTTGAAGGAGTTGTGGGGCCTGATGCCCCTTGAGCTTTACAACTTGGTTTTTTTTACACTGAAGCCCTTGGGAAATCCCTTGTGGACAATGAGGAATTCCCAGTTTTGCAGGTTGACGGTGTTCACCCAAACAAAGGAAAGCTGTTTTGATATGTGGCATAAGGGTTACCCTGGTGATCATTGCAGTGACAGGTTTTGCTGATCCTACAGAATTATTCAGGGGCCCACAGCTGTCTGGGAAGAGCTGCAGGAAGAGCTGACAGTACCAGGTGTGAACCCCTTGGGGTGCAGTGCACAGGTCACTGCTCTCCTGTTGCTGGGGGGTTGGAGTTCTTCTCAGTGTGAGGGAACCAATGGTTTCCCAATCCAGTCTGTCCTACAGGAAAGGCAGCAGCACTGAACAAAGTAAGGAAAACCAGCAGGCCTGGTCTCCTGCAGGAAAAGGATTCCTGCTGTGCTTTTGGCACTGAACAAAAGCAGGAAGTTGGGGGTTGAGTTTCGTTTCTTGTTTGAGTTCTGCCTGTTTTTGAGCCTTCCTCTAACAACTTACTGCAGGGAAGGTCAGGCAAGGGGAAGGACAGGAGCAGCGCATCCTAAGGACCTGGAACGTGAGGGGAGCGTGCTGTGAAGCTGTTCCAGCAAGACCAGATGGATACTGCCTGCAAGTCACCCAACCTAAGTGTCAGAGAGTTTGCACTCCTGCACTGGAGGATTGCAGTGATTTTGTTAAAGGTAAAGGGCACTCCTGCACTCTGCAGGGGCAGCTGGGAGGATGCTGGGGAGGAGGCTGGCCCTGCCCTTTAGGTACCACAGGGTCAAGTGGAACAGGTTTAAGCCTCAGGTTGCCTGTCCCAGTGAATTTTTTTTGTCTCCTTCCAAACTTTTAATAGTGGAGGCACAGCCAAAATCCTACAGTCAAATTCTCTAAAACCCTGTTTCTCTATTAATCCTATTTCAGTCACGTACCAAAGGTAAATGCAGGTGGGGTCTAATTCCACTCTCAGTACACATTATTAGCACTACAATGAAGACCTGCACCTCTCCCCACTCTTTTTTTAAACTTAAGAATGGCTAGAGTAAATGCTAGTTACATGAACCACAGTGGGAACAAGGGAAAAAGCCCAAAACCTAACAGTAGAGCAAAGCCAACAAATAGCAGATAATATATTGGTGACCTTTGAGTCGTCATGGTAACTAGACAAGCTATAAATTCACTGGCACCACACTTGGATGTTTTAAGCAAATTGATGTCATTACAGCTCTGTGAGTAAGGCTTCTGGAATAGGTCTGGTGATGGTGTCTGTTATTACAGCTGCCCATTCTCAGACCCTACCAGCTTCTTGCTGAATACTTGAGCTGAAATTTGCCATATTAAACACAACTCCCTCAGGATTATTAAATACCTCTTCCCCCCCCTTCTCATAAATGTTTCTGTTGCCCTAACCAGAATTTTCCAGAGGAGAAGGGCAGGGCCTGCCATTTAAATTGTCAGCCTGGGTGATTCAGCTGCTTCCCAAGTCAGGGCAGGGAAAATACCCTGAAAAGGCCCCAGCATCCTCAGTCTGGAACTAAAGTCACTGAGACTGGAAGTGGCAGGACCAGCCTTCTGAGAGTCCAGAGGTACAGGTGAGGGGGACAAGACTGGGACAAGCACCAAAGCATCATGTTTGATGGGAGGAGAGTCAGCGACTGCAGGAAACCTCCTTTGTCACCTGGAACAGATTAACAACATACCAGCCCAAGGCAGGTCTGTCTCCTGCCTTAGTGCTGCCCCTTGTGTGCAGTGACAGTGCATTAGTGGTGGAACCAGTTTAAGGTGTGGTGAGTGACAACAGATGGAAGCTTCCGCCTTCAAGGAAAACCAGCTCTCAGTACAGCACAATATGCCAGCTGTGCCCCACCTACTCAGCTTGTCTGTCTTCTTCCAATTTAGGAATATACCATGAGGCTTCCAGGTCCCTTTAATGTTGCTTAAAAAAAAAAAAAACCCAACAAAAAAACCACCAAGCCTTTCCCAGCCCAAGCTGTGTCCCTGCTTTACCCCCAGGCCTGTAACACAGCCATGCTGCTTTTCCACACAGGCCCTGGGCTGGAGGAAGGAAGGAAGGATGCAGGCAGGGAGAGCTCCTTCCCCCTCAGACAGCAAACACCGCCACGTGCTGCAGTGTCACCCAGGAAGGGGCTGCTGCCAGTCTGTGGAGTCTCCTCCTGAGTCTCACAGCATTTGGCAGCTACAGAGAATGACCTCACCTGGCCAAAGATGCCCCTGACTCAGGTCCAGCCAGAAGCTGTCCAGGGAAGGGGGTGCAGCTCCCTTCACCCTAGGGAAGAGGCAGCTGAGACCTTCCCACACTGAGCTTTACGGCTTGTTTTTTACCTAGAAATGTAGCAGCTCCCACTGACAACTCACAGCACACTGTTAACAAACCCTCAGCAGCCATTTCAGTGGCAGTCACAGGTTAAAAGCAGAAGCAGCCAGAAGTTTGAAGATGGATGCCAGATGGCCTGTGTGGAGTTTCTGCAGGTTACAAAGCACTGTTCAATCAGAACATTCTCCCCCACACGTGCCTGTGGGGGACACAGGGCAGGGCAGCTCATAGCAGGGACTGAAAGCATTAAAGGGATGAAAGCATTACAGCAAGTAACCCAATTCACTCAGCAAAATCTCAGCTGAAGGCACTGAGTGCTGATCCTGCTCCCCTTTGCAGGCCTCTGCTCTGCTCACTCCCATTTCTGCAGGCAGAGTGGTGATGTTATGCCCCAGGAACCATTCACCATTTTATATTTAACCGAGACCAGAAAGGCAGGAAGATGAGAACATTCAACTACAAATTTCATTTTACATGGTCTTTGCTTCTAGGAGGAAGAAAGGATGTCATCTGACTGCAAAACCAGCAACTGCACACATAGCCTGGGGAAAGGGAAGTGAGAAATCAGCCAAAATCTTCCCCTGTCCTGACCTTGCAGATTTTTCTATTTTATTTTAAACCATTTTGAGAAGAAACAGTGCCAAAAGTCATTAAGAAAATGCAAGAGCATTAGGACAGTCCTTTGAAAGCACTGAAGCTGAGAGAGGGAAATAGATCCTGTGCAGTGCTGACAATAAACTCAGCAGATGATAAGTGTTAGAACATGGAGCAGTGCATTTCCAACCAGAACTCCAAGCTACAGCTCAATGCCAGTTGTGACTCCATGGTCACAACTAGTCAAGAATAAATTTACATATATTAAAGGGTAGACTGTTCAGAATGTTTTAATAGGCATAAGCATGCTATGAGTCCAGTTCCTTAAGTGCAAAACTGTATTTCACCTGCACTGCAGAAACATCAGAGGATCTGATACAACACTGAGGTTTCCACCTTAAATGTTTCCAGAACAGAAAGCAAAACAGGCATTCAATGTTTAGTTTGCAACCGAACTCCTCTGCTTTTTGTGGTTGTCTCTGGATATGCCTTAAGGCTTTTTGTTAATAAGAAATGATGCAAATTTCCTCTCAGTTACACCGTGTTGGTCAGACAGGTGGCTGAAGCAGATCCAGGTTTTTCTTGGTGAAAGACTTCAGTTTCAGTAGGTCCTGAATGGAATTTTCAGCATAGTTTTGCAGTTCTGCTATTCCAACTGTTTTAAAGGTCTCAAAACAGAAGCAGCAATATTAACCAACCATTAAAAAAAAAAAACATTAATGGGCAAATGGGGAAAAAAAAAGCTGTAGAGCACTTGCAGGTGAACAAAGGCAGTTGCAATATTTTTCTCAGAAGTTAAAAAAACCCCAAAGTACATGCTACTGTGTTCAGAAGTTAAACTTCAGACTAAGTATTTAAAGTAGAATTTTACACCCCTGAAAATAGGGGATTGTTCTGAAGCACTTTCATTTCCTGACTGTAATAACTATCCAGTTTATACATAGATGCCACATTCCTTAATCACATTCTAAAATAGATTTCCTTAACATATGATACATAGCAAAAGGACAACCCTTCTTCCAACCAATATTGCTTGTAAATAGTTATTGGTGAATTCTACCAGTTTCAGAATAGCAAACATCCCATTATTTAACAATATAAATATCGGTTACTAAAGTTTTATTCATAAGTATAAAATCTCTATGTAAACCCACATGCTACAGCCCATCTGTACAAAGGCCAGGAAAAAGGTTATTTTTTTTCTTATAACAAAGTGCTACTGCAGAATTGACTGATTTGTCGTGGACATTGCTGAACAAACACAGATTGTTTGGCTCAGAGCATTTCCCTCCAAGGACTCTAAATTCTTCTCAGAAGATCGCAGAGCAGTGAGCTTCAGGCTGCTCAGTGAAACACAAAGAAACCTCTCCAGTTATGGCTGTGCAGCCAAACAAGTAGGCGAATTTTAGATTTTCTCTGAACTCTTTCCCAGTTTTCACCATGACTTCAAAAGCTTCCATCTCAATTTCGTTTACACAGAGCGCCATCAGACAGTGTTACAGCTCCAGTAGCTCAAGAAGCTGATGCTCTCCCTGTGGTACCTGGGACATTCCTGGTCCATGAGACTTTAACTCACCTGACTTTTTTGCGTGGATCAGGAATGAATGGCAAGGTCTCTTCTCAGCTGAGACCCCCAACAACTTCTCAAATGACTCCAGCTGTAAAGCAGCACCTGTCTGTGACCCCCTAGGAAGCCCCATTTTAAACACAGCAATCCTGTACTCTTATC